GGATATTTTATCCCAGTTCTAGCTGGTAGGTATATAGTTAAATATGAACATATACTACACACACACACACACACACACACACACACACACACACACACACACACAGTTAACATCTGGTGTAGTACTCGCATGCCACAAAGAAGGCAGTCAATAAATGTTATATTCATTTAACGTGATACAAATGTTTCCTTCCATTGCCTTTTCATTATCATATTGATTTCTGTAATAAGCAGAAATCCTTATTTTGAATGCAGTCTCTTTTTTTTTCAATATTTCCCTTTTTGGTTATTGATTTTTATAGAGTATTGAAAACAAATTTTCCTATTCCCATATCATGACGATAATGTTATATAAGCTTTCATTCCAAGTATAATCTACCTGGGATTTATTATTTTTGAATGCTGTGAAATACCAGTTAAGGTTCACTTTGCCTCCTCATGGCTAACTAACTTATTCAGTTTTCATTTACCAAAAAGATTATAGTTTCCGTCACTACTCGCAAGAGCCAGAGTTTTCACAAATCAAGTGTCCAAATACATGTGGATCTGTTTCAGGACTATTTCTTATAGTTCTGTGGATGTTGTTTTTGTTGTTGTTCTTATTATAATTCCACTCTGTCTTAATGTTTTAGCCCATTCAAGCTGCCATAACAAAAAATACCATAAGCAGAGAGACTGATAAACCAAACACATTTTTCACAGTCCTGGAGGCTTGGAAGTCCAAGATCATGGTGAGGCAGACTTGGTATCAGGCAAGGACCTATGATGATGCCTGCTGGCTGTTTCCTCGCATGGCAGAAGGGACTGGCTAGCTCTCTGGGATCTCCTTTATAAGAGCATTAATCACATTAAGGTCACTTAATCAACTCCCCAAAGGCCCTGCGTGCTAAGATGGTCACCTTTGTATTTAGGATTTCAACATATGAATTTGGGGGGAACACAAATGTTCAGACCGTAGCACCTTATAACTATACTTTTATAATGAGTCTTTTTTTTTTTTACTTAAAACATTTATTGCATTTAAAACATTTAATGCATTGGTAGACCAAAAATCTTAGTTTTTAAAGTTATTTTCCTATTTTTGTAGCCATATATGAAATGGAATTTGTAAACTGCTAACCTGAGTTTTATAAAACTGCTTTTTTTTTTTTTTTCACAAATTTTACTTTAAATTCTGAGATACATGTGCTGAACGTGCAGATTTGTTACATTTGTATACATGAGCCACGGTGGTGAACTGCACCTATTAACACATCATCTAGGTTTTAAGCCCTGTATGCATTAGGTATTTGTCCTAATGCTCTCCCTCCCCTTGCCCACCACCCTGTAACAGGACCCAGTATGTGATGTTCCCCTCCCTGTGTCTGTGTGTTCTCATTGTTCAACTCCCACTTATGAATGAGAACATGCAGTGTCTGGTTTTCTGTTCCTGTGTTAGTTTGCTGAGGATGATGGTTTTCAGGTTTATCCATGTCCCTGCAAAGAACATGAATGCATTCTTTTTTATGGCTGTGTAGTGTTCCATGGTTTATATGTGCCACATTTTCTTTATCCAGTCTATCATTTATGGGCATTTGAGTTGATTCCATTGTAAATAGTGCTGCAGTAAACACTTGCATGCATGTGTCTTTACAGTAGAATGATTAGGGATTCCTGGGTCAAAATGGTATTTCTGGTCCTAGATCCTTGAGGAATTGTCACACTGTCTTCCACAGTGGTTGAACTAATTTACACTCACATCTGTTGTTTCCTGTCTTTTAATGATTGCCATTCAAACTCCAGTGAGATGGTATCTCATTGTGGTTTTGATTTGCATTTCTCTAATGACCAGTGATGATAAACTTTTTTTCATATGTTTGTTGCGTGCGCAAATGTCTTCTTTTGAGAAGTGTCTGTGCATATCCTTCACTCACTTTTTGATGGGGTTGTTTTATTCTTGTAAATTTGTTTAAATTGTTTGTTGATTCTGGATATTAGCCCTTTGTCATATGGATAGATTGCCAAATTTTTCTCCCATTCTGTAGGTTGCCTCTTCATTCTGATGGTAGGTTTTTTTTGTTTGTTTTTTGTTTTTTTTTAGCAGAAGCTTTTTAGTTCAATTAGATCCCATTTGTCAATTTTGGCCTTAGTTGAAATTGCTTTTGGTGTTTTAGTCATGAAGTCTTTGCTCATGCCTATGTCCTGAACGAGTCTTGATATCTGATTAAATCATCCAATTCTGTTCTTCTCATGATAAAATTGGCTATTCCTGTCTCCTTGTATTTGTATATGAAGCTTAAGGTTAGTTTTCCAAATTCTGACAAATAAAGTCTATCTGGAATGTGTCAGGATTTCATTGAATCTTTCTATCAATTTATGAAAAAATGATATTTTAAAACAGTGTGATAATCCACACATACAGTGTTGTACTGGAGTCAGATTGTATTGGCTTAGGAGGGACGGTAGGAATTATCTCTTCCCAACTCCCGTTTCCACTGCGAAACAGAGACAAGTTATGTAGAGATTTGTAAGACATATTAAATACATATTTTTAATTATTTATTTCAAAACAATGTTTTAATTGATGCATAATAGACGTACATAACTCCAGAGTACATGAGATAATGTACTCTGTCAAGTAGGTGAACCTAGGATATCCATCACCTTGAATATTTCTTTTTATGTTAGAAATATCTGAATTATTCTCTTCTAGCCACTTTGAAGTGTACAGTATGTTATTGTGAACTATAGTCCCCTACTGATTTATCAAACCCTAGGTCTTCCATCAAACTGTATGCTTGTACTAATTAATCAATTTCTCTTTTTTCCTGCTTGCTTCCCTTTCCTGGTATCCTATGTCTATTAAAAAGACTTTAGCAGGTTTTAAGAAGTGGATTTGGGGACGTGATTTAATCCAATGTCCATTTTTAAAAAGATTACTCTAAGTGATATGTGAAGAATGAATAGAGTGAATCAGCAGTAGATGTGAAAGACCAATTAGGAGATTTATTATTCTAAGCGAAAGGAGGTAAAAATTTGACAAGGTGGCAGCACTAAACTTGGAGAGGAATGGACCATTCAAGCTACTTCTCATTAAGTAGAAGTCAGTTTCATGGAGGACACTTAGATGTAGCACATTGAAATAATTTTCAGTGAAGTATAATAAAATTAGAATAATCTTGACATTTGCTTAAAGAATGATTTGCAGATTAAATAAATCATATACATACAGATATGTGCATGCAATTTTTTCTTGACTGTTGCCTCTATCTATCTGAATATATAAGTATATCCCTGTTCTGGGTATCCCTGTTATTACTGGGATATTTAGCATATGATATGCTAGGAAGAAAGCTGGAAATGCTTTTTCACTGAGACATAATTCAGACAACATAAATGATAATTCTACCTCTTAAAAATTAACTCGTAACTCTGGTTTGCAGAACACTAAAGTTCTTATTTCGTTAGAAACAATGAATGTGATATAAACATAACCACAAATTACAACTACCATTCATTTAGTACAAAAATTGGAGCAGGTGCTGTGTTAGATATTCCACATATTTTATTTATGATTCTTAATAACACCATACATGGAATTACCTATTTTATGAAATGAAGAAATTTGATGTTCAGAGAAGTTAAATCATCTGCCCTAAATTGATCATTTAGTAAATGAGGAGGCCAGAGGCCAAACCCTGCTTTGTCTTTTGCAGACAATTATATCCCTAGAACCTTAGACAGCCACTGGCAAGACTCGCAAGACCATGCCCTCGATAAATATGTGGTGACTGAATGACTACTTCCACCTCTCCATCCATTTGCTATTCATAAATCCCAGAAAAGATCAAAATTTTAAAAATAAAATAGCTTTAATAAGAAGTAAATTTAAACTCTGTAGTTTCTAGCATCTATATTTAAATTAGAAAGTGGCAAGAAATCAAGTTAATAAAAAACAGAATGCCAGAATACCCAAACTGTGAGGATCACTTCTTTATGTTTTAAACAGCTGTGTATAACCTAGAACGACTTTAGTGTTGTATTCTCTTTTTAAAATTAATTGTCCAAGTAGTGCCATAAATTCTTCCTTTTATGGAAAAAAATACATTTATATTTAATTGTTTCCATTGTTGTGTTTCCTTTTTATTTAGGCCTCAGAAAGGATATTCTTTAAAATTATCCACAACATTACTAAAATGTGTTGAAGTTAAACTGAGCTAAATCAATATAGACAGAGTAAATTTGAATGGAAAGCCATTGAGATAGATGAGCTGAAGCCCAGACCTGCTTTTCATCCCCTATTTATTCATGTTTTTTCCTTCCACCTCATTTTACTCACATTAAAATGAGCTCTAGAAAGCTGATTAGAGTATTAGTGTTATTACTGTAAAAATATCAACCATGTTATTACAGATTTGGTAGTTTCAGCCATTGTCATAATTTTATCCATGTTGTACCAAGTGATATCATTGCAAGTACTGTGGATTCAAAGTCAAAGTGGTAGAAGTGTTATTTCTGATGAAGGTAATGGACCTTATGTTATAACATGTTATACTTTTAGGATAAAATATAAAGCAATAAAATATGATTAGAGAAAAACTACTGTTTCACAATTTCTTCCTCCTCCTCCTCCTTCCTCTTCTTCCTCTTCTTCTTCTTCTTCTTCCCCTTCTTCCTTCTTCTTTATTTTTCATTTTTTTGAGACAGTTTTGTTCTAGTTGCCCAGGCTGGACTGCAATGGCATGATCTCAGCTCACTGTAACCTTCACCTCGGGGGTTCAAGCAATTCTCCTGCCTCAGTTTCCTGAGTAGCTGGGATTACAGGCACATGATACCATGCCCATCTTATTTTTTTCATATTTTTGGTAGAGACAAGGTTTCATCATGTTGGCCAAGCTGGCCTTGAACTCCTGACCTCAGGTGATTCATCTGCCTTCGTTTCCCAGAGTGCTGGGATTACAGGCATGAGCCACTGCACCTGGCCTCTTCCTCTTTTCATAATATGATAAACTCTTTTTCCAGAAATACCACAGATGGCTGGTACTTGTATGCTGACAGTTCTAATGGGAAATTTGGTGACACGGCTGACATTCTCACTCCTGTCATTTCACTCACGGGACCAAAATGTACCTTGGTGTTCTGGACACATATGAATGGGGCCACCGTTGGTTCTCTGCAGGTACTGCTTAGGCTATCACATTTTTAAAATTTTCTATGTAAAAATTCATGGTGCATATTTTGGTATCATTAAAATATAGTCTCTTAATAAGTCAAAATGGACAATAAATAAGTGTCTACACTTGGTTAATATCTGGATGTGTCTTCTTGTTACCTTTGTTGTGCTACATTCTGCAATAGTCTTCATCAAAGTGCTTCTCTTAAAAAAAATCTAAACTGTTTAAATGCATAGAATGTTCCAAGAATAGCACAGACAACTCCAATATACCCTTCACTCAGGGATCCTATTTTTTTTTAAATCAGTTGTCCTGGTAATGTCCCTTAGAGCAAAAAAATCCAGTATAGGATAACATACTACACCAAGTTATTTCTTTCTACTGCCTTTCAAACAGGAATAATTCCTTATCTTCCCTAGGTTTTTATAAACTTGATATTTTAAAAGCTTATAGCAAAGTCGTTTTTTATGCTGTCTCTTAGTTTAATTTTGTTGAGTTAAGCTTTTTTGCCCCTATCATATAACCAATATTGTATTATTTTTATTGCATCCCATTAGCTAATGATCCTTATCAGTCTCATTACTTTCATTTTTTTATCAATAAATATTTTACAAAGAGATATTTTAGGGGTATGCAAAATATTGATTTCAACTCAATTTTACCCACAAATTTTTCATTCAGTAGTGGCTTTTTTTTGTTGTTGTTGCCTGAATTAATTTTACAATGCTAATTGCCTAATTGTGATTTTCTAATTCCATTATTTTGTCCACATTTTAGGTTGGATTCGTGATTAAAAAAAAATCTCTCTGTTTGCTCACTTACTGTTTTATGTCAATGTGGACTCATAAGCTTCCGTTTTAATCAATGTATTATAATCTATTCAGATTATTATTTATTTGGTCCTCAAATTGTGCCAGATTTGGTAATAACAGTCTCCTTCCATGTTTCTCTGAAAAGGCCCATCATTCTTTGAGTGTATTTTTTCTTTTTGGCCAAGACATTCCAAACTTGACCTTATTTTTATCCTGTCCTGTTTCTGCAATTAACTATTTCTTCAGAAAGTTCCATGGTTTTGTTTTGTTTTGGTTTTTTTCCCTCTGGGGGTTCCAACATATACAGGCCAGAGAGCAGTTCTGGAGTATTCATTTAGATTTTCAAGTCCTGTCTTCCCATACTGTAAATGCCCTGGTAGATAATAATGCATAAGGCTTGTTAGTAATGTGCATGGACGTATCAGTTATACTGAAGAAGCCAACTCAATTTTGGAGCATCTTCATTTCTACTCTTTCATAGCTTGTGTGTTACTTTCCACGAAGCCATGAATGAAAATAAATCCACAAATTCCAGAATTGTATATACTACAAGCAGTTCTAGAGTAGCGCTATCTTGCTAGAGGCAATCTATTGATAAGGACTGTCCTCCTCTCAAATACCATTAGTTTGCCAAGAAGTCTCTAGTATATTTGCAACAAGATTACACATGAGTTTCCTGCTTTGTTTATCCCCAATAGAGAAAAACAGACTGTGGCCAGCTGCTTGGTCATTTATTTCCCGATAGGTTTATTTCAATATTAATAATTGGTCCTCCCCCAAATCCTATTTTGTTTTATTGTAGGATTATCCTGGCTTTTGTTATTCATTTTTTAGAGAAACTTTAGATAAACATAGTTTCTTTCAAAAATGCTTTTTTTTTAATTGGAAACATATATCAATTTTAGGATTTTCTTTTTATAATAAGGTAAGATTTCATACTAAAAACAGTTTAAAAGTATATTTGTGTATATACATGCATGGTTATGTTCAATAATCTAAAAGCATCCAAATGGTCTTCTGGGTTGAAGTCATAACATACTGTTGTAATTTGACTTTTTAAATACGGTTTTAGGCAAAATAATTACTACAACTTACTGTAAGTTTTTGTCAATAAAATGAGAATTATTTGCCTGGAATATTGTGGGGTTAGGATTGATGATGTGAAATGCGCTTTCATTTTTTCAGAATAAAATTTGGTATTGGTAGATGAGCTTTTTAAAAGAATTAAAATTTTATAAGTACAGAATTATAAAATGAACAAAATGATATCTATGATCCTTATTTTTGTGCATGGATAAATAAAACAGTATTAAATGTTGCATTAATATGTTTCTTGAACATATGTTTTTCTCAGAGATTTATATATACTGTGGTATTCATATAAAGAAGACTTATTTCCTATACATTTCTTTCAGTGCTTTCCAAAATTGATTTTTCCTTTTTGGTTAGAAGTTATATTTTCTTGACCTTGATAATGTTCCATATTAATTTGAATTTTATAGATTAATAATTTAATGGTACTTTTGCTAATAACACATTTTTTTTCTCCAACTCTGGAAACTCCAGTTACATTTTAAAAATCTGAATTTAATTTAAAAAACATAATGAAATCATTAAAATTCATCTTCACTTTTAAAAGTCAGAACTTTCACAAATCTTGTATCTGAATAATTCTTCGCTTTTATAAATTCTGTTTTTAAAAAGTAACGTTAAAATATTTAATACACTATCTAAGTTAGTTATTTTAAAAATCTGAAATTGTTCCACTCTCCTCAGTTACTCTCTTCATGGCTCATTTTGTACCATTCTAAAAGAAGAGCCGTAACAGTTTGTCTGCTGAGACTAACCTAGATTCTGCTTTACAGTGAGGGTACAGTACTGAGGAGAATATGCTGGTTTCACGGCTGTTGGGCAGGAAGCTTTTACTGGTACAGCATAAATAGATGCTCACTCATCTCACCCATCTGTGTACTTACAATGAAATGGGCTGACACTGTGAAATTACAGCCTCACTGAAACCATCTAATGAGAAAGATCATTCTCAAAAGAGTGTTTTAGTAAGCAATTCCATACTTTGTCATTTGACCACATGAATATTATTTAATAAACAGCAATTGGTACTGCTTCCAGATTTTTAAAAAAGTTAATGTAGTTGAGTTCTTAAGTAAATGATGCCCAGATACTTTAGGACTTGGTTGACAGATATTCATGCACATCTTTATTGTACCAAGCTTGTGAGGTACCCTAGGGGCACAGTGCTGTAGAAAACAAAGATATCTAGTAAAAAGTGTCTTAGCACTTCTCTCAAAAACTTCATGTTGATATTACAACTAAAAAATCACTGGGAAAATTTTATATATTTGCAGTTTCTCAAGAAAAATTGCTTCAACACCTTTTACCTAATTTATCTCTGCAGGTACTCATCAAGAAAGACAACATTACTTCTAAATTGTGGGCTCAAACCGGACAGCAAGGTGCACAGTGGAAGAGGGTAGAAGTGTTTTTAGGCATTCAGTCACATACACAGGTTTGTAATCCAGGTAGTTATGGGACGAGTGAGTTCTGCTGATTTTTTCCCATCCTCCTTTGGTTTTTTCTCTACTCACAGTCTTCTTGCCCTCCATTCCCTTTCTGATGTGTTCTGTGGATGTGTAGACACAGCACTTAACACTCCGTGGAGCATTTTCCATAAGGAATTAATAACTTCAGAGTGCTCTAATTTCTTCCAATTAGATATTCGTAGTTCTAGGAACATTTAATTTGAATAACCTTCCTTCACTCCCTAATCAGCGTCTCACATATAAAGAACATTTCCCTCTGTTTTGCAAATATATTCTCAGAGCTTTTGTACAGCAATTAATTTTTTCAAACCTAATTTAAAAGACAGTCTTTGGAAAACATATTGTAAAACCTTGTTATAGGGAATAGATTCACCTCATTTAAAAATAGTTTTTGGAGGCAAAATATTGTGTAATGCCATATTTGTCTTCATGTAATTTGTGACAATAGTAAGAGGATCAGACCTATACATATTAATAACTGAAGAAAAGTACTAGTACATAGATTAAAATGTTTAAACTGAAAATAAGTATGTGCTGAAATGTTTGGCATACAGCATATCTCTCTTAGGGATTACCAAGAAAGCAAGACCTCCCTGAGCTGTTGTTTTATTGAGAATTTTCTTAGAAGATGAGGCTTAGCTCTGAAGATTTGTTAAAATTTGAATAAGCAGAGTGAGAACACAGAGTCATTTAGGTAGAACATTTTCTTCTTAGTCTTAACTGCCTGGGTTTTAATTCTGTGAATTTAAAGCCATTTAGCTCCAGATAGAAGGGTTAAAATTCCTGTTAAATGTTGCGTGTTCACTCTTCTTTGTGCAGCTGGGATAGTCAAGTTGGCTGTGAATGTTCAGATAAATACACCTACAATCATGTGCTTTCTCTAATAGATCAGCCCCTTTCAACTCCAATGGGAGTATACGGGGTTCCATTGTATGAAAGCATTGGTAAGTGTTACAGCCAATTTCTTAAAATGGTAGGTATGGTAAATCCCATTTATCTTTTGCCTCTCTCTGAAATCCAGTTTTCTTATGAATCATTTGTAGATAATTTAGAATATGGGTAAAAAGTAAATTCACCTGGAAGTAGTAAACACTGGATAGCAATTTTATAGCCTTGCACAATATGAAACTTTTTTAGAGGGATCCTAACTGTTAAGCCTCTGAGATCTTTAAACTGAGGTAAGAAGAAATCTCATCAAGAACATGTAGAAGGTTATATTGTGCCACACATAGGCCTCCACCCCAGGCAATGAAGAATTAACTAGTTCTGTGCATGTATAATATTTGTATAGTAAAATCATGTTTGAAGTAATATTAAGGGGAATTTCAGCATGTGCAATCAATTATTAATTCATCCATTCTGAATTTCTAATTTTTCACATATTGAGATTTTATTAAAGAGAAATATACCCCTGATTTTTTGACTCTTAAAACTAAATATTACTGGCTTGTGAATATTTGCTGTTTTGTGTGATTCCTTCCATAAAATCTTATTGAGCACTTACTATGTACAAAGCGCACTGCTGTGCACCATGCAAACAATATACAGTGAGGAGTTAGGCACATCGTTCATGATTCTGCCATTTCTTATAAGATCATTCCCTTTAGTCTCACAAAGATGAGTGCCTGTAGCCCTTGAGGAAAGATATAAAATATTTTTAGAAATAGTGTTCTCAAGCATCACTGGGAAGTTTGTATAATTTTATTTGGGAAGCCCCCAAAATTTAAACAAAATATTTAATTATAATTTTTATTATTGGAGCAATCACATATATAGCACTTACTGAGTGCTAAGTACTATTATATGAATTTTTAAAATACTCATTTTGCTTTCACAATAATCTTATGTACATGGTATTATTATCTCCATATTATAAATTAGAATATATAAATACCCAGAAGTTAGGTCTTTTGCTCTAGTTATGTAACTACAAATGTCAGAGGCAGACTGGAAGTACGGTCAGGCCTTCTACCAGTCTACATTGCAACTGTTATGCTACATTGCCTGTTAAATTTTACAAAAATAATTAACCCTGACTTTATTCTGCCTGAAAAAAAAAAAAAGATGCATTGTAGTTTCTCTCTTTTTTAAGAACAGTTAATCCCATTCAATATTAAAGTCTAGGGAATCTCAACCAACACAGTATGAAGCATTGTAAGTGATGGTTTGATTATTTGGACATGGAAAGCAACTGAGATTGTACCTATAAGACAGAAGATAAGCAAATTAAGAGTACAACAGTCACTGCATTATCTGATTTCTTATTCACAGAGCATTGCAGCCTATATTGAAATTTTAGACTCTCCAGATAATTATCTTTTTCACTTTGCATATCGACATTTTTCCATGGCTCAATTTCTCATTTAAGAAAGTCATAGACCTTATTATACTTTTTGGTTTCATCTCTTTTTAATCACTTCCAAGCTTTTCATCTATCTTACTGATTTAATTTTTTTCTTTCTAAACTTACCTGCTATCAAGACAGTCTGTTCCTTTTATGTAAACTCAATATATGAACACAGTTATATTTTTCTTTTGATGTGAGAGGCATGATTTCAGTTATTCCATCTTCTCATGTTAAGAGAAGAACACTCAGGTTCACACAATAGTATAAAGACCTACCACATCTGAAGGGAAAAAAAAACTGTAATTATTTCTTCTATGAAAAATAATTGTCCAGAATTGGTCAAAAGATATTTGGAAATTTGTTAGCAGTAATTGTTTTTCATACAAAATCACTAAAGTAAAACTGTACTTGTTAACTCACCTATAATTGTTCTAAGTTACTTGGAAATATCTGTTTCCTATGTTAACATATACATATTTAGCTTGTAGAGAAACTTAATAAAAAGGCTGAATTCATTTCACTGAAAAATCCTAAACTACAGAATATGTGACATTTTATGTACCTATGAAATGGCATTCATTTTTATTCTAAGCAAAGATATTGTTACAAATTGAATATGGAGTTTCTAAAACCATTAATGACGCCTGTTAGTATTCTTCATTCTTCTTGATTCTACTGCAGTTGCCATATGTAGAAAATCATTGTCAAACAGTGGGACACGTGAAGAGTCTTTTCATCATATACATGAATCAAAGGCGAATCAAAGGCAAATCAAAACCATTTCAATTCCAAAGATGTGCCACATTTTTAAAAAAACTCATGGTACTGAGGATTTACCTTTTAGCTTTCAAATAGTTGGAATGGACAAACCGAGGAATGGCAAGAATTGAGCAAAGTAAAGAATCTACTTGTGTCTTTTCACTCTTGGTATGCCATTTGATTGACATGCTTTACATCACCTAATTGACCTGCTTTACTCTGCAGTGAGGCTCTAAAACAGGAGTAGGTCTTGTGTGATCTGAGAGCTGGCAAAGGCAGCAGTGGATGGATGACTCCTGCCAATTTTCTAGTCCCATATCTTAAAAATCTACACATGAGTCAGTGGTTTTGCCACTCCTACATTCTTAGGTGTTGAGGATGACATTCTTAGGTGTTATGTCTTAAATGGTCCTCAAATTTCCTGGGTCACGTTTAACATAAGGGCATTAAAAAAATCACATTCAAACTTTTCAAACTTGATGTTCTTGACACTCGGTGTTTGCCCTGATTTTGAACTTGATTGACAGTTTAACTGTAATTGGCTTTTTTTTTTTTTTTTTTTTTTTTTTTTTTAGATTGTCTTCAGGGCCAAACGTGGTATCAGTTACATAGGAGATGTAGCAGTGGATGATATTTCCTTCCAAGATTGTTCCCCTTTGCTTAGCCCAGAGAGAAAGTGTACTGCTCATGAATTCATGTGTGCTAATAAGCACTGCATCGCAAAAGACAAGCTGTGTGATTTTGTGAATGATTGTGCAGATAATTCAGATGAGACTACTTTCATTTGCCGTAAGTAAAAGGATTCTATCTTCTTATTTTGCCTTCAACTCCCACAACCTTACTCAGTGTGCTGTGTTTATTGTCGCAACATGCAGAGTATGTGTATATCAACACCAGAGGAAGGTAAGGTGATTCAACTACTTTTCCTCCTTTCTCAGAATAATTTATTTATAATCATAATTCATTTAAAACTAATTGATGGCTGTGTGTGTGTGTATGAATTGGAGATAAATTGGAAAACAGAAGTCTTCAAAGAAAAACAGAATGGAAACAAGTATTTTTTATATTAAAGAATTGTTTTTTTGGAAAAATGACTAGCAAAATTTTCATTAAAGACAATTTATGCAGGGTTGGTGAGCCTACAGGCTCTGATGCATTTCAGAGGATTGTCATTTCTCTGTTCATATTATCAGATGTGATAGGTTGTTAAAAAATCAACACCCTGAAAAATACCTGTACATGAAATAGACAAAGTGATTTCACAAGGACATACATATCAGCTATGTGATATGGTTGAGGGAGATCAACTCATAATGAACACCATATATTAAAATATCCTTAGTTAAATGGGCCATGTGTACTCTTTCTGCTAAGCCTATAAAATTGTGCGACATAGTCCAATGTTGCTTCATTTAACTGCAAATGAGGTGAACATAAATTGTCAAAATGAAGATTGACAAATTATTTCACTTTTACCTTTAATAATTTCTGAGCTAGAATATTGCAGTTTGATATTATTTGCTTCTGGGAACCAAACCTGGAATATTATGAACAGCTTCAGTATATGGAGCTCATATATACATAGAACTTTTAACATTCAAAGCCTTCGTATTTACTAATCTTCATTTGAACTTCAGAAGCCATAAGACGTACGTGGGAGAGCCATTATTAGTGCAGTCAACAGAGGAAGCTGTCAACAAGAGGGGCTAAGGTTTTGTCAAAGTTCATAAAACATGTACTGCTAGAGCTGGTCGTAGAACTCAAGTGTTTTGATTTATGATCCAGTGTTTTGCCCAAGCTATCATATCACTTCTTTTTAAAAAAATTCAATTTTTTTAAAAGTGGTATGATAGCTTGGGCAAAACATTGGTTCATAAATCAAAATACTTGGGTGGGAGGCTAGGGGAGGGATACAAGAGGTGGGAGGTAGTGAAGTGATAGCATTAGGAGAAATACCTAATGTAGACGACAGGGTGATGGTTGCAGCAAACCACCATAGCATGTGTATACCTATGTAACAAACTGTACATTCTGCATATGGAACCGAAAACTTAAAATATAATTTAAAAATTCAACTTTTATTTTAGAATCAGTGGTACCTATGCAGGTTTCTTTTATATTGTGTGATACTGAGATTTGGGGTGTGAGGAGTCTTGTCAGCCAGATAGTGAGCATAGTACACCATAGATTTTTAGCCCTTGTTCTCCTCTCTCCCTCCCTACTCCAGTAGTCCCCAGTGCTTATTTTTCCCGTGTTTATATCCACATTTACCCAGTGTTGAGCATCCATTTGTGAATCAGAACATGCGTTATTTGGTTTTCTGTTCCTGTGTTAATTCACTTAGAATTTTGGCCCCTACCTGCATCCATGTTTGTGCAAAGGACTTGATATCATTTTTTGTTTATGCCTGGGTAGTATTCCATGGTGTATATGTAATAGATTTTCTTTATTCAGTCCACTATTGGTGGGCTCTTTGATTGTCCATGTCTTAGCTATTATGAATCATGCTACAATGAACATAGGAGTGCAGTTACCTTTTTGGGAGAAAGATTTCTTTTCCTTTGGTTATATACCCAATAATGGAATTGCTGAGTTAAATGGTAATTCTGCTTTGAGTTATTTCAGAAGTCTTCAAACTCCCTTCCACAGTGTCTGAACTAATTTACATTCCCACCAGGAGTATATAAGTGTTCCCTCTTCTCCATAACTTCTCCAACATCTGCTATTTTTTGGCTTTTTAATAATGGCCATTTTAACTAGCGTAAGATGGTATCTCACTGTGGTTTTGATTTTCATTTCTCTGATGATTAGTGATAAAGAGCATTTCTTTCATATGTTTGTTGGCTGCTTGTTTATCTTTTTTTGAAGTGTCTGTTTATGTCCTTCACCCACTTTTTAATGGGGTTGCTTTTTGCTTGTTGAACTGACTGAATTCTTTATGGATTCAGGAAATTTGACCTTTGTTGTATGTACAGTCTGTGACTATTTTCTCTTATTTTGTAGGTTTTCCGTTTATTCTGTTGGTAGGTTTGTTTTTTGTTCATTTGTTTTTGTTTTGTGTGTGTGTGTGTGTGTGTGTGTGCAAAAGCTCTTTAGTTTAATTAGGTCCCACTTGCCAATTTTTGGTTTCATTTTAATTGCTTTTTATGATTTAGTCATAAATTATTTGCCAATGCTGTTGGCGAAAATTCATTTTCCTTGGTTTTCTTCTAGGATCTTTATAGTTTTAGGTCTTGCCTTTAAGTCTTTAATCCCTCCTGAGTTAATATTTGTGTATGATAAAATGTAGAGGTTCAGCTTCATTCTCTTGCATATACCCTACCACTCCTGTGTAAAACTGAATCTTCAAACAAACAAACAAACAAAAAATAAGTTTTATGTTTTCACCACAAGGAAGTGACAAGTGTTTGAGGTGTTGGATATGCTAATTACTTTGATTTGATCATTAATATAATATATACATATATGGAAACATTACACTGTACCCTATAAATATGACAATTACTATATCAGTTGTAAATAAAATAAAACATTTTCTAAAGTTATATACATAGATGTTCTTTTTAAATCACATGACAATATATTCCTTCAATTTTAGGTTATTTCTTATAATATCCGTTATTATCGGAACCAGGAAAAGTACTTCACTACTCTGGAATTCTGTATTTATTAACATTTATCTTTATGTTATGAATATTTTCTATTTTAGTTATTTCTGTATTAAATGCTTGTACATTTTCCTCATTGCCATTTTCATTTAACAATCACACAAACATATAAGGGTAACAGTTAAATAAAGCACATATAATGCTTTTGAATTTTATTTGTAATGTTGTCAGTGTATCTCCTTCCTAGAGATATACTTTAGTGTAATTTTTCAGAATTCAGATGCCTCAGACTTTTGTAAAACCACAACAAAATAAACCATACAAAATATCACCTTCCATCATGTCCCTCCCTGACATGTGTGGATTACAATTCAAGATGAGATTTGGGTGGGGACAGAGAGCCAAGACATATCATAGTAGGTATGTATGTTTATGGAGTACATGAGGTATTTTGATATAGGCATTCAATGTGAAATAAGCACATCATGGAGAATGGGGTATCCATTCCCTCAAGTATGTATCCTTTGAGTTATTCAATTACACTTTTTAACTTATTTTAAAATGTAAAATTAAGATGTTATTGATCATAGTCACCCTAATGTGCTATCAAATAGTAGGTCTTATTCATTCTTTCTATATATATATATATATATATATATATATATATATATATATACACACACACGACGATGGTTTATATATATATGGTATATATATTTATATATATGAGGATAGTTTATAATAGATATATTATATATATATATATATATATATATATATATACATATTACATTTGTATATGAGAGGTTGGTTTTCCTGTCAAAAGTCTGAAAAAGAATCTGCAACTCTACGCTTGGTTTGGACTTTGTCCCAAGGCCATGCCTTCATGGTGGAGCCCTGGGTTTGGACTTTTCTGGAAGACATGTTTTAACAGTCCACTATTTAAATAATGAAAGTTTCTGTTTCCAAAGTTTAAAATCTCAGAACTTCTGACTTCTCTCCTTGCCTTCTTAAGTGTCTTTTGTAGCTGCTCATTTTTTTCCTGAGCTTATATTTTTCTCATGGCATCTTGTCACACACATCAAGTAGTAGCCAATTCATGTTTTCAACATTTTGTCCAGAAAGCTCCTCACACAAATTTGTAACCTAATTATTTACGTATTCAGCATTCCACATTATCTTGGGCACCAGGTTTATCAAATATTTTGGTGTGACATAACATAGATCTCAATTTTTTCAGTCTTCTATAACAATCCCTTTATTGACTGTCATCCTGGCCATTGCTACAAATTGTAGGTAATTTTTTGTCGGCACTCAATTACAAGCACTAATTTCTGTATAAGTCATCTGTATCATGATAATGCTGTGTAACAATCTGCAGCAAAATTCAGTGTCAATTTAAAAACCATTTCTTACTTTCACCCTATAAATGGTGAAGTTCTGTGATTTGTTTCCTTAATTTTTAAATTTCTAAATTTTGTAGTTATATATAGTATGTGTTATATTAGTACTATTCCCACACTGCTATAAAGACATATTTGAGACTTGGTAATTTATAAAAATTATTTTATAAAAAATAAAAGAGGTTTAACTGGCTTACAGTTCCACATGGCTTGGGAGGCCTCAGAAAACTTACAATCACAGTGGGAGGTGAAGGAGAAGCAAGGCATGTTTTCCATGGACTCAGAAGAGGCAGAGGGTGAGGGAGGGAGTACTATACTCTTAAACCATCAGATCACCTGAGAACTTGCTTACTATCACAAGAATAGAATGGAGAAACCATCCTCATGATCCAGTGACATCCCACCAGGTTCCTCTCTGACACATGGGATTACAGTTTGATATCAGATTTGGGTGGGGACAAAGATCCAAACCATGTCATAGTAGGTGTCTGTGTCTATGAGTTACATAAGATGTCTTGATACCGGCATGCCATGAGAAATAATCACACCCCATAGAATGAGGTATCCACCATCTCATTTACCCCCTGTGTTACAATCTATTTACACCCTTTTAGTTATTTTAAAATGTAAAATTAATTTATTATCGACTATAGTCAGTTTGATGTGCTATCAAATCATAGGTCTTATTCATTCTTCCTAACTTTGTTTTTTGTACTCATTAACATCCCCACAAGGATATATATATGTGTGTATACACACACACACACACACACACACA